GGGAGGGAAAAAAAAAAAAAAAAAAACAGCCGCCGACCGCAACAAGTGTGCAGTCTAACGCTTCACAAATCGGTTGCGCAAGTTTCTAGTGGTCAGATGTGCCCGCAAGAGCACAAAATAGGCCTTCATCCCAGAGTTCACTGGTTCGAACCTCGGAACCTTAGCTTGTGACTTATGCCATCTCATTTGCAGAGAGCTGAAGAGAGACAGAGTATAGGAAAGCACAAAGAAGTGGAAGGGAGGCTGGGAAAGGAGAGCAAAACGAAATAGCCTTCATCCCAGAGGTCGCTGGTTTGAATCTTCGAGCCCTCATTTTTGTGTCTTATGCCCCCTCATTTGTAAAAAGGCTGAGGAGAGGAGAGTACAGGAAAGTGCAGAGAAGTGGAAGGGAGGCCAGGGAAGGAGAGCAATATTGTGGCAGATAAGGACCTGTTCAATTTGGGGGGGGGAAGGGGGGAGAAAGAAAACAAAGCACCCTACCTTCTCTAGCAAGGCCAGGGCATGGCTCAAGTGTTTATTACCCGGACACTCTTTCAGTCCCTTGACGAATAATCTCCTTGCTTCTGAAATATTCCCTGGAAAAAAATCATGGCCAAAAAAAAATGGTGGTATGGCACTCTCGTTAAGCAGCAGCTCCTTGATATCTCTTTTTTTTTTTCTTTTTTTTTTTAATCCTTGTGCAGGGGCCATGGCACTCCATGCTAACCTTCTCTGTATCGTTTTTTTTTTTTTTCCCTTTTTCTTTTTCAAACATCCAGTGCCCCTTCTATTCTGGGCGGCGTCAGTTTGGTTGCTTATTACCGGCAAGCATGTTTTCACATGAACAAAGAACAAGAGAAAGAGAAAAAGATGAAACAGACCAGCCCTACCATTGTGGCTTTAGTCAACTAAGCAAGGGGGGGGCTGCTACGGTACGTCGCGCCTCATCAAAACCATAGATGGGTCTGTCTGCTGGCCAGGAAGCTTACTGGTAGCACCCAGTCACACAGCAGGGGGGGCGGCCCTTCTCTGTATGGTTCCATTTTTTTTTTTCCAATTTAAATGGATGTACCAAAGATCCCTACAGTGGCCTACAGTGGCCCTACACTTACAAAAAATCACTAACGTGATAAATCTGGCATCCGGGCCCTCCACAGTCCTACCGGGCCAATGGCCTGGATCATCACGCAATCGTAAAATTTTAAGATCCCGCAGCAATCCAGGTTGTCTGCGGCCCTACCAGGCCACAGCCAGGATCGTCGCACGATCTTAAGATTTTAAGATCATGCAATGATATGGGCCGTCAGCCCGGTACCGGTTTGCCAAGGGCCCAGATTAGAAGTTAGCTCCTCAGATGAAGTTAGGGCTGCGAGGCCTAGGGAAAAATGGGTCCCAGGCGGACCAGGCCCCTATTGGGCGCAGCGGTTCGTCCCTTTTCCCCTGCATATCTTTGGCAGCGCATAGTTTTCCATGAACGAGACAACACACACTCACATGGACGCCCGCCCGTGCAAGCTCACGCACAAGCACACACGCACATGCACGCATCCACGCACGCAAATGCTTTGTGGGCAGACTGTCGGGGTCCAACCTCCTCCTAAGATGGTGAAAGTCCAACGAAACAGTCTGGCACAGTCAAGCTTTTTTTTTGTGGAGTTCACACAAAGACACGAACAGTGTGTGTGTGTGTGTGTGTGTGTGTGTGTGTGTGTGTGTGTGTGTGTGTGTGTGTGTGTGTGTGTGTGTTTGTGTGTGCAAAACTGTGGGACCCCTGCCAATGGTGGGACTGATATTCCCCACGCTCTCCTGATGGGTCAAGCGAGCAACTGTGCACAACCCCTGCCAACAGTTTTGCCAACTGATATTCCCCACAATCTCCTGCTTGCTCAAGCTGCAGTGATAGCAGTATGAGCAACTGTGGGACCCCTGCCAACGGTGGGGCTGATATTCCGAATCCCAACGTCGGGACTGAGATTCCCAACGTTCTCCTGCCTGGACCGAAAGTTGTGCCAAATACAGCTATAATGACCGGGTATTTTATTCGGGTGAAGACGGTAGTGGTTTAACCTCAGTCTGTGACCGTGCGCGTTTAGTGCTAAAAGAAAGCGAAAGGTGACATGATGCCTGTCTTATGGCTGCTGATTGGTAGACACATGCACATGTTAATAAACAGATCATGAGCTCAAGACCTACCTCAAAGTTCAATGCAAAAAAAAAAAAAAAGAGAGAAAGAAAGAAAAGTGAAAACGCCGAAAAAGTGATGGGGTGGTGTACTGACCTTGGGCTCTCTCAAGCCGGCCCCATTGCAACCAGCCCCGTGCCTGCTTTGGGTTCAGTCCAACAGCCCTCCCATATAGCTCCCTTGCCCTTTCAAAGTTTGATAGTTTCTCCTCCATAGTACCCCAAGCCTGCCAGCAATATCAACAAGCCGAACGACCATAACTGTCATGGCAAACACTACAGAGGATTACAGCTATCTATGGAAGATTCTGGTTTTTTTTTTTTTTTTTTTTTTTTTCAAAATYTWTTAAARATTYTCAATTTYATAATTTYTTAATATTCACACCTTAAAACTTAAAAGAGTATTATGACCTCCCGACGAAAAAAACAGCTATCTATGGCCCACTTTTTTTTTTTTTTTCAAAATCTATTAAAGATTCTCAATTTCATAATTTGTTAACTTTGACACCTTATCACACGGCCATCAACTGGTAGTACTTCATTCACCCCCCCGAAACGGTTTTCACCTGTCAGCAGTAGCGAGCGCAGATCCCAGGGCTCGATCCCTAGTTCCCACCTTACCTATGTACAGTATCTGTGTTGACCCCGAGTGTTTGAACCCGTGACCTGTGTTTTGACAGTTGTTGTTGTCTGTCGTAGGTCGGTGTAGGGGTAGGGGTAGGGGTTCGATCTGTAGACCTGTCGGATAGGAGTCCTAGTGAGTTCTAGAAGTCGTAGCTGTAGCCTGTCCGAAGGGTCAAGGTCGTAGTTGCTACAGTCCTGAAAGGTCAAAATCGTAGCTGCTACAGTACCGAAAGGCCAAGTCTACAGACTTCCGGAAGTGGCCTTTCGGAGTAGGCTCACATTAGGCAGAGGCAAGTGGGCAAGTGGTGGAGCCAACCTCAGTGTGTTGGCAGTGCAACTGCAGTGAGGTTGCGGTCCAACCCCATGCAGTCGGCGGTACGGTCCAGTCAGTCCCAGTCCAGTCCAGCAAGTACCATATGGGACTGTGTGCACAATGGGCCGATGGAAAAGGGCCAGACCAGCGAGCTACAGAGGTATAAATAAGGAGGCAGCGTCCAGCCATTCATTCATTCCTGCATAAGGCATGCGGAAGCGCTGCCACAGCGACTTGTGCAAGGTGGTCTGCAGTGAGCCCGAGGGCGAAGTGGGCGAGAAGGAGTTAGCCATAGCGATAGGGTAGAAGCGGCCATAGCCGCCATAGCTGTAGGTGTGTGTGAGTGTGTGCGCAAGGGTACAGGGTGTTGCGTGTGGGGTATCCAGGGTGATCCTGTATGCGAACAGCAGTGTCGAGGGAGTGACGAACAGAGAGTTGTTCAGGCGATGTGCTGCCATAGCCATGTGAAGTTCTTGGTACTATATCTCTGAGTTCTGAGTGGGCGCCTGGCGCCAGCTTGCTGCGCAACCTGTTTGCATGCGTGTGAAGTGTGAATGAAAGCGAGTCTGATTGCACCCCTACTTACTGCAGCATTAATATCTTCCCCCAACGTACGCTGTACTTAAAGCACTAGTACCTTTGTCGGTCGGGAAAAGAGTGGGCCTCCGACCTTTCAGGAGGCCGAAAGGAAACGACGGCTGTCGATCAGATTTATCAACGGCAGTCGTTGTTGGGCCCGGCCTCCTAAAAGTTTGGGACTAGACTAAAACTTGTCGAAATAGGACGGCAAAGGTACTAGTGTTATGACATGTCATCACACGGACTGAAACAGACAGCCGATTTCTGAGTCTTGCCGTGGAATGCATGCCATACTAAGTTCCCCCGCCTGCTAAGTCTGCTTGTGTGTGTGTGTGCTGGACTGCATGTCTGTCTGAATGCTGGCTGACCTGTGTGAGTGTGCTGTGYGCCTGTCTAAGTGACTTGAGTGTGTGTGTGGCCCCGTCGGGGTCGTGGATGTGGGGGCAGGACCGGTAGGGCCGGTACTTACCGGTGGCGTGACATTTGAGGGTTGCAGCCAGGAAACACTCAGGTGGCGACGATAGCGGCCCTGCGGCCCTCGGTGGGTAGCGGAAAAACACTCGAGTAGGCCGGTAAGTCCAAAATGGGGTACTTGAGGGCCAGAAGGCCGAAACTTGAAGCACTTGAAAGTCAGGCAGAAAAAGACAAAGTGGGCACTTTTAGCAGTCCGGTAGGCTGGGGGGTACTAGTAGGAGTCCAGGGCCTGTCGGGGGTACTTCAGAATCTGCAATGATGTTCCCGCCTCTCGGCAGGGGAAGTCTCCGGAGTGTGGGGAGGCCGGTAGGCCAAGAGGCACAGCCGAAGAGTCACGCGGKGCGGTACATATCCAGGCAGAGCCAGAGGCTCCGCCTCATTTTGCTGGGCGCACAAGTTTGGAGCACGGCATTTGGAGCAGCGGCTGGGAGCAGCGCTGGAGAGCTGCGCTAGCAAGCAGCAAGCCGCGCTTGGCTAGGGAAGGAGAAGGACAGCGGAGGAGGAAGAAGAAGAAGGAGGAAGAAGAAGAAGAAGAAGGAGGAAGAAGAAGAAGAAGAAGGAGGAAGAAGAAGAAGAAGAAGGAGGAAGAAGAAGAAGAAGAAGGAGGAAGAAGAAGGGGGGAGAGAGAAGGAGCCGAGGTACTTACCGGCTATGGTGGCAGCCATCTCCTACACCTTGGAGCAGCAGTAAGAAGGCCCTCCGAGGGAAGGAGCTACTCCAAGCATCTCCGAAGCATCTTGGGGCATGTCGGCACTTAGGGGGACAGCCATAACTCATTTGGAAGTCCTTTGGGCATCGTGGTTGTACTCTGCAGTCCGCCATAGCCTCGGCCTAGGAAGGAGAGGCGGCTATGGCTATGGTGGACCTCATAGTTGTCCAGCTGTAGAAGAGAGACTTGGGCAGTGATACTGGACCTTCATTCCAACATTGTTGTATTATTTATTGTTTGAATTTATAAAGAGGAGGGGGAGATAAGATGCAAGGGAGTTGAGCGAAGAAGAAGAGCTTTGACATTGGTTCTTGCTGGTGTACATTGTCTTTTCCAATCTTTTCTACTTCTTCTTCTTCTTCTTATCCTCTCCATCCTCTCAAGTTCATTCATTTCCTTTTGCAGTTGGTGAACATTGTGCTGATTGGTGAATTTGTACTTCGCAATTGGTCCGGGTCATAACACTAGTGGTTAAAAAAAAAAAAAAAAAAGCGTACGTCGTACACGGTGTGACAGTCCGTGAGGGTGCATCTGTGGCAACTTTCAGTCTACATACAGCGACAAATAGTAAATACTGTACGGACCACGTTCTATTTGGGGTGAAGACGGTAGCGTCCGTGATCTGGGAGGTTTGCTGACCCTAAGCAAGCACTCACTTGGACTTCATGCGAACATCTGACACACTCGAAGGATGATTGTTGAGCACGCATGTTCGTCGTGTAAACACTGCAAAGATGGTTGCCAAGCAAAGGGCAACACAGCAAATTGCCTTCCTATCTACCTACCGTCTTTCCCCGAATAGAATGTATGCATCGTATGGTCATCATAGCTGTAGTTGGCTCAACTGTCAGGGAAGATACAGCGATACGTTCTATTCAGGGGAAAGACGGGCTTAAGCCACCATTATGTACCTACCTCCGAGTGCTATTTCCGAATGCTCTATTTCACCCGCCCCTGGACTGCTGAACCGTTGTGGGGGGAAGGCAGCCCGGTAGGGGCAAATATTCACAGGCCATTCACGCCAGAATTTTGAGATGGGTCACAAGTAAAAAAAAAAAAAAAACAAAAAAAAAAACACAAAGTTATAATTTATAAAGTAATATAAACCACTTTGCCATTTTTTTCATTTTTAAATATATACTTGTGTTACGCAGCATGATGTACCAGTACCACATATCATGATGGTTTTTCAGATTTGCTTATTGAAGGCGACGAGCGGAAAATTGCCAAATATGGGAAACGGATCACTTTTGGGGTTGAATAAATAAATAAAAAAATAAAAAAATAATGAGGCCAGTTCTCAATGCCCACCTTTCAAACAATCCACAATTCGCACATATGAACTTCACGCGCGAAAAACTCAGAAGACAAGAAGATGAAAAAAAAAGGGAAAAAAAAAAGACAAAGAGGAGAGAACAAGGTAACAAGGTAATCGATGAGAGAAGAAGATGAACAGAGGAGCGAACAATAATAACTTTCATTAATAATCAAAGAATATTGCAACGTCAAACTTCACCTCCTCCTTCAGTTTGTTCCTCTCCAATCGCCTCCCTTCTCTCAGGCCAAGCCTATCTCCACCAACGCCCAACACTGCTTCTGTGTCTTGCCTCTCTCTCTCTCTCTCTCTCTCTCTCTCTCTCTCTCTCTCTCTCT